GGCCAAAGAAATGGATGAGCAGGAAAAGGAATGGAAGGGAAGGGGTGGAGAGAGGGCGGCAAAACCGAGGAGAGTGCACAAGGAGGGGGAGCGGCAAAGGGGAAGGGCCCCAAGCGTAAAGAGGGACGGGAGAAGGGAGGGGTAGGGGGGGGCCACCAAAGGTAGCAGGAACCAGAGGCGAGGGAAAGGAGAGGGGCTGGAGTACGGGGGGGCGGAAGGGAAGGGGGCCCAAAAGGTAGAGGGATGAACACGGTGGGCAAAAGGCCCGGTGGGGAAGGCGCCGGGCGCACGCGGAGAAAGGCGCGAGGGAAAGCGGGGGACGCATAGGTACCCGAAAACGGGGAAGGGGAAGAGACGGAATGGCGGCGGGGGCGAAGTAAGGGGGATAAGACGACAAAAAGGTTGGGAGGGAATACCCGAGTGGGAGCGCCAAAAGGGTTGAAGGTCAGGGCTATAAAAAACGACGGGGGGAGGGCGGAAGACGGGAGTGAGATAAAAGGAAAGGGGGCTAGGGGGGACACGTAACGAGCCAACAAACCGGAGCAGACCACGGACCAACGAGCCGACGGAATAGAAGGCAAATACAGACGATGTGGGCAAATCTGGACCATACAAAAAAACTAAACGAGGTGGATAGAAGGGGACGGGAACAACCCCGGGGGAAGGCCGGCAAGCCCTGGAGGAGGATGGAAGGAATGCCCTGGGAAGAAGAGGAAAGAGGAGGGAAGGAGGGGAGGGTGACCGGGATAGGAAGGAGGAAGGGGGCCACTAGGTAACGGGGAAGCCGTGGCCCGAAGAAGACATCGGAAGCTCGGGGAGAAGAAAGGAAGGAGGCCGGGGACGAGTGCAGAGGAGGAGGAGGAGCCGCGGAAGGAATAGGCGTCCACGAGGCGACCAGGGATCCCGGAGCCCGAAAAACAAGCCGAGCCCGAGAAGGTAAGAGATAGGAGGAAACCAGACCAGGGCAGGCCCGAAGAAGGCGGAGAGAGAAAGGAGGGAACGGAGGAGGCCCCACCGAGAAGGCCCCACCACAAGAGCGCGCACCACCAAAGAGGGCAAGAATGCCCGGAGGAGAAAGCAAGAAAGCAATGAAAAGCGGAAATGAAGAGCCGGCAGGAAGCCAAGGAAGGAATGAAGGACGAAGAGGGAACCAGGGCGCAACAAACGAGGGGCAGAGGGAGAAGGCCCTCCTGAGGGGGCCCCATAGGGGGGTGAGAGGGGCGAGGGAGGAGGAGGTAGGAGGGGAAGGGAGGGGGAGGAGCCAGGGGGGGAGCGGGGAGGGAGGGGAGAGTGGGGAGGCGGGAGGAAGGAGGGGGGGCGGAGGATGGAGAGGGAGGCCGGGAGGAGGGGGCGGGAAAAGGGGGGTGAGCCGGCGGGCGGAGGGGGGAGGGGACCGTAAGCGGGCAGGAGAATACGAGCGGACTGCGGTGGGGAGAGAAAAGGGAGATGAAAGCGGGGAAAAAAAAAAAAAAACCCGAGGTGGAGCGGAAGAGATGAGGCTGGCGGGGAGCGGGGGCCGCGAAAGCGCAGGGGCGGGGGGGTGGATGGGCAGAAAAGCCAGGAGAGGGGAGGGGGCGGACGGGGCGCGGAGTGGGAGCCGGGAAGGGGCGACGGGTGAAGGATGAGGCAGGGGAAAGGGGGAAGCCCAGGGTGGGCGCCGGGGCCACAATAGGGTGCCCGTGGACGGGAGGGGGCGGGAAAAGAGGCAGGTGGGGGGTAGGGGGGCGTGTGGGAGGGGACCCGCCACCTGTACCCTACGGCGCCGGTGACAACACCGCCTAGGTGCAGGGGGAGCGCGGTGCGGGCAGCGGTGCCGCCGGCGACCCGCCGGCCCGCTCGAACAGTATGCCGAGCGGCGCGCCGGCGGGTGTGGCGGCCCCCCACCCCCGGCGAACCCGGGGAAATGGGCCGCAACGGCGGGATCCCGGCGGCGCCCGTGGGAGGGGCCCCGAGCCCCGGGTGGCCCAATGGACGCGGGCGCGGGAGCGGCCTGAGGGCGAGGGGGAGAGGGCTAGGGTGGCCGGCGGAGGGGGACGAGCGCCAGGAGGATGGGCAGGCAGGGGAAGTGGGAGCCCGGGGACCGAGGGGGGAGAAGGAGGAACCCCGGAGGGACGAGGTCCGGATGAGGGGAGGGGCACGCAGAGGGGGGACGGGGGCGCCCCGGCCAGGGGAGGGGGGGCAGGGGCGGGCGGGGGGGAAGGGGGGGGGGGACCCAAGGCGGGCCGGCGAGCGAGGGGTGGAGCCGGAGGCGGCCGGGGGCAGAGCGGGCGGGGGGCAGAGTGAAGAGGCGGGGGGGCGCGGCCTACCGTGGGGGGGGGCGAGCCAGAACGGGGCGGACGAGGCGGCGGGTGCGATCCGGGTGCCGAGGCGGCTGGGCAGAGGACAGGCTCGGGGGCCGGCGGGTCCAGGGGGGGGGCGAGCAAACACGGAGGAGAAGCGGCCGGTGGCAGCGGGCGGGGGCGAGCGACCCCCCGCCGGGTGGCGAGACGGGGAGGGGGCGGGGGGGCCGGGGCGAGCGAGAGCGCGGGACCCGAGGTAAGGTGAGGCGACGGGGGCCGGGCGCCAATCAAAGGGGGGGAGGGCTGTGGACAGGGACGATGGGGGGAGGACGAGGGGCGGGGGCAATAGGGGACGAGGGGAGGAGAGTGGGAAGGGGGCAGGGGGGGAGGAGCAGGGTGAGGGGCGGGAGGGCCGGAGAGAGGGGAAGGGCGGCCGCGGGATGAACGGGGGCGGGGGGCCCGGGCCGTAGCGGCGCGAGGCAGGCCCGGGGAAAGCCATAGAGGGCGGAGGAGAGAGCGGCAGGCCGCAAAAGGGGGGGCGGATGAGCGATAGAGAGCGCGATAGGGTAGGGAGAGGCAACGCGGGTGGGGAGGTGGGGGACAGCAGCGCGCGCGGAACTAGAGAGAGGGGGCGGGCAGGCACAGAGACGGAAGGCACGGAGGGCGCGAGAACGGGAAGGAGAGAGGGGCCCGGGGCCGGCTGCCACGGGGACGGAATGGGCGCGGGGAGGAGAGGAGGTGAGGAGCCGGGGCACGGGCGCGGCGCGAGCCCGGAGGGGCGGGCAGAGCACCCGAACGCGGGGAGGAGAGCGGGGCGATGGAAAGAGAGGCGACCGGGATGGAAGGGAAAGGCGCTGGAAAAGCGGGGGGACAGGGGGAGCAGAGCGGAAGGGGGACCCGAGGATAAGATCGCGGAAAGACCGGGACGGGAGGACACGAGGCTGGGAACGCGAGGGACGGAGAAGAGGGCGCAGGAAGCTTGAGGACACGCCAGGGAGAGGGGGATAACGACACAGAACCGCCCCGCACGGAGCCCGCGCGAATCGGAAAGCGAACGCCCCGAGCGACCACACCAGGGAAAGGGGCGAAGATGAGAAGGGGTACTTGCCTACAAACGGGGGTGAACGGACACCTGACCCGAGGAAAGCGCCGCAGGGCCGAAGCCCGGGCAAAGATCCGGGACAAGGACCCGGACAAGAAAAGGTAAGAGGGGGAGGAGACGAGATGAGGCGGGACAGGCAGGGAGGCGAAAATAGGGACCGGACGGCCAAGACGCACCCAACCTATGGACCACCGAGAACCCCCGAGGCAGACATAAGGACAGGCATCGGCCGTACAAGGGGGCCGGAGCGCTGCGCAAACCCGGGGGGGCGACTAACAAAGGGATTTAGGGCAGAACGAGTGACACCGAGGAAAGGGAGCCAAGGAACGACACCAAGAGGAAGCGGGGGGGCAATGGCGGAAGGGAGCGCCGACACCGGGCGACTCCCACCGGGCCCAAGGGGAAAAGATCAGCCGCCCGGGAAACCCCAGCAGCGGGAGACCCCTAGGGCGGGGAAACACGCCCAACCCGAAGCCGGAAAGTACCGGAAGAGCAAAGGCGCAACCGGCTAGGACCGGGCGCAGCCGGGGGGGCGCGGACCCAAACCCGCTGGGAAACCGAAAGGGGGAGGGCCGGACGCGAAGGGCAGAGCCCCCACGCCGGGGGGAAAACCCGGGGAAAAACCGGAGAGCCAGCAGTAAGGCCCGGACAAGGAACACGGCCCAGGGGCCGGGGAAGAACCGACAGGCAGGGAGGCAAAGAGGAAAAGAAGGGGGAGGAGCAGAGGGCATATCGCGCGAAGGAGGGGGAGGGACGAAGAACGGAGCACCCCACCCGGGCCCACGATAAACCTGGGAAGGCGGGCGACGCAGAAACCAGGAGCCGGCGACGGACGCACGTTAAGAACGCCCAGGCGGGGACAAGCAGCGGTGCAAAACAAAGACGGGCAAGGGGGCAGGGGCCGCGCGACTAGAAAACATGCGGCAAAGAGGGGCCAACAGTACCGAACCGCAAGGAGGGACAGAAGCCGGGCGAAGAAGGGCATGCCACCAAGGAAGGAAGGAAACCCAAGAGAACAAGAGAAGGACGAACCCGAAACCCCCCGGACCACGGAAAAGAACCCGCGCAAGGAGGACGGAGGCAAGACCGAGGCGGGGGGGATACCACGAAACCGTATCGGGGCAGGGACGGCGCGACAAGCCGAGTCGGGAACTGGGCACGCGGATAACCAGCACGCAGAAGGCCCCCGGGAAGCGGTAGGGGGCAGAGGGGACACGGGAGGTAGGGACAGCGGAGAAGGAGGGGGCATGAGGGAGGGAGAATGAGGGAAGAAGGGGGAGGGAGCAGGGGAGAGGAAAGGAGGGAAAGAAGGGGGCGCCGAAGAAGAGGGAGGGAAAAGAGGGGGAGGGGAGAAAGAACGAACGCAAAAGGGCAGGGGCAAGGAGGCCGAAGAGGAGGGTGAGGGGAGAGGAAGGCCCAAGGAGGGAAAGAAGGGGCCGGGACGGGAAGAGAAAAAGGGAGGGGCGAAAGGCCGAGGGGCGGCAAAAGAGAACAAACAACAGGAGGGGGCGGGGCGGACAGGAGGACAGGGGAAGCGGAAGAACGGCGGCAGCGGCAGCGCAACGGCTGGCGGGGGGGACGCGAAGGAGGAAAGACGGAGCAATACGACGGCAAGAATGATGCCGAAAAGGGAAAGGTGTGGGAAAGAAGGGGGGAGAGGAGAAATGAGGAGAAGGAAGGGCGGGGGAACTGCGGCAGGCGGCCCGCCGCGAGAGGAGTCGGGAAGGGGAGCAAGGTCCGCAGGGGGTGGCGAAGGGCGAAGGGAGGGGGGGAAGGGAAGGGCCCCGGAGCGGCAGAACGCGGGAAGGGGAGGGAGGGACGGAGGAGAGAGAGGGGGAATGCAGGGGGAGAGGATGAAAGAGGCGGCGAAAGGAGGGAAGAGGTGGGAGCAGGGAAGGGCGAGGAGGCCGACGAGGAGGGAGGGGAGAGTAGGAGGGCCGAGAAGGAGAGAAGGTGGGTGTGGGTTTTTGTTTTTTTTTTGTGTTTTTTTCTGTTCTTGATTTTTTTTTTGGGGGGGGGACCCCGCAAAGGAGGCGAAGAGGCAGGAGCAACGGAGGGGAAGGAGGGACGGCGAGGAAGGAAGAAGGGGCGCGGGGAGAAGAGGGCGAAAGGAAAGGCAACCGCGGGGCGGGGGAGGGAGGGGGGCGGGGCCGAAGGGCCGAGGGCCGGCGACGAAAGGAAGCGAGAGCGCGGGCGGGTAGGAGGGAGGAGGGAGGGGGAAGGAAACGCGGGGGGGAGGGACCGAAAGAAGGGAAAGAGAAAGGAAACAAGGGCACTGACAAAGAGGCAAGGGCAGAGGAAGGCGGAAGGAAGCAAGGAGCAGGGGGGAAGGCCGGCGGGGGGAGCGGGACGAACCAAGGCGCCGAGGAGAAGGGCGGGGAGAGAGGAGGGGCACGGCGGGAGACGGGGCAAGGAAAGGCGGGAGGGAAGCGCGGGGGAAGCGGGACGCGGCGAGAGAGGCCAACCCCCGGACCGGGAAGGCGAGCCCACAAAAGGGGAAACGAGGGACGCCGCGGGTGAGCGAGGCCGGACGCCGCGACGAGGGGGAGGGGGAAGGGGGGAGCCGACCGACAGGCACCAGAGCAGAGAGACGAAAGGGGGACGCGACACGGGCGACGAGAAGAGCAAACTGAAATAGCGCCGAGAAGGCAAACAAAAGCAAGCGAAAAGGCGAGCACCAGGGCGGACGGCCCACGCCACACCAAGCCCCAAACAGGCAGAAGCACGCGAAGCCAAGAGGCCGCGAGCCCCGGGCCGCCCCGGCCAAGCAAGGCCAGGGCGGTGAAAGGAGCCGGCCGAGCACGCCAAACCGCGCGCGGGAGGCCCGCCAGGACAGCAAAACCCGGACAGTAGGGGCCAACCGGCCGGCCGGCGAGGACGACGGGAGACAGCGACCCGAGCCGCCCGCGACGGGGAAACCGAGCCCGGGCACGGCGGACACCCCGGGAAACCCAGACAAGAAAACATAGAGAGAGAGAGAAGAGAGAGAGGAGAGAGAGAGAGAGAGAGGGAGGGAGAGCGACCGCGAGAACGCGGGCGGAAGGAGCAAGGAACAGGGGACGAGGGGGCAGCCGAGGGAGCCAAGGCCCGGGGAGGGGGCACAAGGGCAGGGGACGGGGCAGGACAGGAAGCGGGGCAGGGGGGGGCGGGCCCGAAGGAAGGGACGAGGCCGAGGCACGGGCCCGCGGGGCCCCAACGGGGGCCGGGACGGGACCGGGGCGGGGCCGGGGCAGGAGCGGGGCAGGCGGACGACCGCCCACCGCGCGCCCACGGGGACAAGGGGCGGAGGGCGGAACCCCGCAGGGAGGGAGGGGGGCGCACGGGGGGGCCGCGAGGAGGAAGGGGAGGCGGGGGGAAGGAACCAGGGACCACCCAAACAGAGGGGCCGACGGAAAAGACCGGGACGCACGAGACACCAGCGGGAAAGCACAAGCAAGGACAGGGCACGAGGAAGGGAAAGCGGAGCCGACGAGACAACCGACGAGGGAGGGTGGGCGGAAAGGAGGGCGCAAACCAAGGAGGCGAGGGGGGAACGCGGACGAAGAACCCACGAAAACCGGAAAAGGCAAAAGGCGAAGGAGGGACCGGGACGCCGCCAAACCAGGGACAGCGGCGAGCAAAGCAGAGGACGCCGGACAAGGGGAGGGAAGCAAGAACGACGGAGCCCAGGGGGCGAAGCAAAAGGGGGAAGAACACAGGCGCGCCAGACGGCAAGGGGCAGGAAGGACCCACAAGGAAAGGAGGGGACGCGGAAAGGCGCCGAGGCAGCCCACAACGAGAGGGGGAACCGACGGCGCGGGAAAAGAAAAAGGGCACGCAAGGACACCGGCAGCAGGAAAAAGAACACAAACAGGGCACAACAAGGCCGAACCGCGGGGAAGACAGGAAGGCGGACGAAGAAGGGCAGCCACGAAAGAGGAGAGGAAAGGCAAGAAGAAGAGAAAGGCAACCCAAAGGCCAGCGACGCCAAGAGACGGGGGGAAGAAGGGGGGAAGGGCGCCCGAAGAGAGGGCGGGGTGGACCCAACGCGGGCAAGACCGGGGGCGCAGGAAAGAAGGAAGGGGGAAGCACCACGGGAAAGGCCCGCAAGAAAGAAGAGAAGGAGGAAACCGGAGCCGGGGAAGCAAGGGCGAACAAGGAGCGGAAAGGCAAGCAAGCACCAACACCAAGGAAGGAGGAGCAGCAGCGCGGCGGCGCAGCGGGAGCAAAGCAGCGAACCAGAGGAGGCACGGGGAGCGAGAAACCGGAACCCAGCCGAGCCGAAGGCCGGGCCCGCCCGCGGAAAAGCGGCCCCGGCCGGAGGGCAAAACCCGGGCGACCCGGCAGACCCCAGGCGCAAGCCCAGGGGGAACGAGGCCAGACAAGGGGCAACCGCACAACCGAAGGGGCAACCGCGAAAACGGGAGCCGAAGGCCGGAAGGCACCGGGGCCGCAAGGGGGAAACCCACGCGCGGAGCCCGGGAAACCGAAGCGGGCCCAAAAACCCAACACACAGAGGCGGGCAAGGAGACAAGGGCCCCGGGGAAGACCGGCGCGAGAGGACCACGGGGCGGCGCGGACGCGGGAACCCGGCAAGGAGGGCCAAGCGGCGGGGACGAAGCGGCGCGGAAGGGGGGGAGAGGGGAACACCCCGGGGACGGCCGGCAAGCCCGGAGGAAGGAGGGAAGGAAGCCCGGGAAGAAGAAGGAAAGAGGAGGGAAGGAGGGGAGGGGGACCGGGAAGGAAGGAGGAAGGGCCACCAGGAACCGGGGACCCGGGCCCGAAGAAGAGCGGAAGCCGGGGAGGAAGAAAGGAAGGAGGCCGGGACGAGGCAGAGGAGGAGGAGGAGCCGCGGGAAGGAAGAGGGGCCACGAGGGACCAGGGACCCGGAGCCCGAAAACAAGCCCGAGCCCGAGAAGGAAGAGAAGGAGGAAACCAGACCAGGCAGGCCCGAACGAGGAGGCGGAAAGAGAGAAAGAGGGAACGGAGGAGGCACCGAGAAGCCCCACCACAAGAAGCGCGCACCACCCAAAGAGGGCCAAGAAGCCCCGGAGGAGAAAGCAAGAAAGCAAGAAAGCGGAAAGAAAGAGCCGGCAGAGCCAAGGAAGGAAGGAAGGCGAAGAGGGAACCCAGGGCGCAACAAAACCGAGGGGCAGAGCGAGGAGGCCCCCGGAGGGGGCCCCCAGAGGAGGGGGAGAGGGCGAGGAGAGGAGGAGGAGGAGGGAGGGAGGGAGGAGCCCAGGAGGGAGCGGGAGAAGCGGGAGAGGGGGAGAGGCGGGAGAAGGAGGGGCGGAGGAGGAGAGGGAGGGCGGGAGGAGGAGGGGGGGCGGGAGAAGGGGGAGGCGCGGAGGGGGAGGGGGAGGCGGACCGAAGCGGGCAAGGAGAAGACGAACCGGAGGCGGGGGAGAGAAAAGGGAGGAGAACCCGAGGGGGAGCGGAGAGAGGAGGCGGGGAGGAGCGGGGGGGGAAAGCGCAGGGGGGGGGGGGAGGAGAGGGAGAAAAGCAGGAGAGGGGAGGGCGGGCGGGGCGCGGAGGGGAGCCGGGAAGGGGCGACGGGGGGGGCGGAAGGGCGGGGGAAAGGGGCGAAGGCAGGGGGCGGGGGCCACAACGGGGCCCGGGGGCGGAAAGGGAGGGAAAAGAGGCAGGGGGGGGGGGGGGGGGAGGGGACCCGCCACCGACCCACGGCCGGAAACACCGGCAGCGGGGAGCCGGCGGACGGGCAGCGGCCCGCCGGCGACCCGCGGCCCGGAACAGGAGCCGGCGGGCAGCCGGCGGGGGGCCCCCACCCACCGGCGACCGCGGGAAAGGGCCCCACAGCGGGCGGGGCCGGCGCCCCGGGGGAGGGCCCCGAGCCCCGGGCCGCCGGTGGGGCCCAACGGACGCCGGGGAGCGGGCCGAGGGCGACGGGAGAGGGCGGGGCCGGGCGGAGGTGAGGAGGCGAGGAGAGGGCAGGCGAGGGAAGGGGAGCCGGGGACCGAGGGGGAGAGAAGGAGACCCCGGAGGACGAGGCGGAGGAGGGGAGGAGGCACGCAGAGGGGGGGGAGACGGGGGCGCCCCCTGCCGGCGCGCGCGGTGCGGTCGCCGTGGTGGGGAAGAGAGATGAGTGAAGGGTGGAGGGAAGGAAAACGAGAAACAAAACCGAGGCTGGGAGCCGGCCACAGACGAGAAGAGGCCGTAAGGGGTGCAAGACGGCGACCACCGAGTGGGCAACGGGGGGAGACCAAGGCAACGTACAGGCAAGAGAAGAGACTGCGTAAACCGACGAACGGCCACCCGAAAGAGCAACACGAGACAGGAGGCACGATGAACGGAGGCGGGGGACACCACGAGGGCGGGATACGGCAAACGGCGGAAGCGGGAACCCAAGAGGGGAAGGGCCAGCGGGGAGCCGGGGGGGGGGGGGCACCCGCCGGCCGGCCCGCGGGAAAGGACGAGGCGGCAGCGGCGGTCGCCGGCGCTGGCAGCGGCCTGCCCGCCGGCGACCCGCGCCGGGCGGGCGCGGGGGGAGGGTGCGGGGCCCCGACCCCCACGGACGTCGGGGCAGGCACGTAGACGCCCCGAGAAACCGAGGGCGAACCCGAAACCAGGGGAGACACTGTACAACGCAAGGAACGACAACACGGGACAAGGAACGTATCAAAGACGAGAAACGAACGGGCACAGAAACCGAGCAGGCGGGGGCGAAACAGAAGCAACACCCCAAACAGTGCGATGGCCCACGCGAGATAGCAAGAAGAAGTAGCAGACGACACAACCCGAGGGGGCGAAGCCACGGGGACAGCAACAAGAGACGAGTGCGGCGGCGAAGGGCAAGAGCGGGAAGAATAAACACATAAAACAGCCAAGGAGCCAGCACACAGGAGTCAAGAACAAGACCGAGGCCAGCAAGAAGGCCAGATAAGCAGCAAGAACACCAGAAAGGAGCAAGAAGCGCCCAAGAGCAATGAGGAGTCAAGAGCCCGCATAGGGTAGCAGCACAGCAAAGCAGCAAGTAAGAAGCAGCAGATGTCGCGCCCAGGCACAGGGAAGAAGGGGGAACCCGAAGGGGGGAAGCCGAGCGAGGAAATGAGGGGGGGAGACAGGGGGGACCGCGGAGCCGGAAGGAAGGCCGGGGCGAGGAAAGGAGCGGGCGGGAAGCGGGCGGGAGGGCGGGATGGCGCCGAAGGGGAGGCGGGGAACGGCGGGGGGGGCGGAGAGAGGAGGGGGGGGGGGGAGGCGAGGCGGCCGCCGAGTGCCCGATGTATGAGAGTGGAAGACGCGGAGCGGACGGGCCGGAATGGGAGGCGCGGGGACGAAGGCGAGGCCGGAGAGGGCGAGGGCGGAGGTGAGGGAGAAGGGGCCTATGGGGCCAGAGTGGACCAGATGAAGGAAAGAGGAGCCGAAGCGCGAACGCGGCAAGAGGGAAAAGGCCGTACGGCCGGGAGGCCGAAAGGCGGAAGAGGCGGAGGCGCCGGCAAGGGGCCACGCGGGCAGGGGCGACCGACGAAGGAAGGAAATGGGGAAACCGAACAGAATGAAAGCAGAGGGACGGAGGAGGTAAATCGGCAGTTAAGGAAAGAAGGAAGTCGGCGAGGGAAAGGCCGGAACACGGGGGCGGACACGGCGCCCCCCCGGACGCCAGAGCGGCGGCCCGAAGCCGGGGAAAGCAGGGCAGCTGTCGGGAACGAGGCAGAGAAGAACCGGGGGCCGAGAGAGAAGGGAGGCCACGGAAAGGGGGATACGGTGCACGCCGGAGGGGGGGGGCGGGGGGGGGAACGCAGAGGGGGACAGGACGAGACGAGGGGGGGGCAAACGTAGGACACGGGGGAAGGCATTGAAGGAGGAGCGAGGGTGGAGGGGGCAACGGACGGGGGGAGGGGGGCCACGGGGGAGGGAAGCGGTGAAAACAGGGAGGAGAAGGGGCGGCGGAATGGCGGAAGAAAGGGGTGAAAGAGGAGGGAGGCGATGGTGCCGAGGAGGGAAAGGAAGGCCCGGCGAGGAGGCGGTGAAGGGGGCGCCCCGAGCCCCAAGGGAAAGAAGCGGCGGGAGAGTGCGGGAGCACGCAGGCCGCCGGACGAGCGGAGGAGCCGCCGGCCGGGGGGGGGCGGGCGGGACGGGAAGAGCCGGGGGATGACCGGGCGGCCCAGGCTGAAGGGGGCAGCCGGCGTCGGCGGGCGGGAGGGGAATGGCCCGGGCGGGAGTCAACAACGGACGGCGGGAAGGCCGCCCAATTGGCGGGACCGATTGGGGGGCAACCAAGCCAAGCTGCTGGGGGCGCACGCCCAAAGGCGGCCCAAAGCGCGGGAGCGCGGAGGACGGGGGGGTGAAGGGCGCGGCGGAGTGGAAGGGCAGCGCCGCGTGAGGGGGAGGAAAGGCTGAGGAAGGACGGCAGGGGCGGACCGTAGGGCGGCAGGGGGGGCCCGGGGGGGGAGGTGGTAAGGAGGCAAGGGGTCCCGGGCGGGGCCCGGGTGCGGGAAAGCGCTAGCGCGGGACCAAAGCGCGTGGGGGAGGACGCGCCGCGACGGGACGAGGCACCGCAGTGCCGGGGGGGGCCGGAAGGACCCGGGAAGGCGGGCGCGAAGGGGCGGCGGCACCCGGGGGCCGGAGCAACCCAGGGGCGACGGGGCGGGATGCCAGACAACGGGGAAGCGAGGCCGCGGAGGGCTTTGCGAACGAGGGCCAGGGGGGGGAGGAGGCCGGCCCGCCGGAGCAGGGTGGACGGGAAAGGGTGGCGGGGGGCGGAGGAGGCAGGGCCCAACGGCCGCCGGGGGCGCAAGCCGGGACGCCAACAGCACCGAGGCGCGGGGGAGCGGTAGGAGCCCGAGGGCAAGGACGCGGGCAAGGGAATGAGTGGGAGGAGCCCGCAGGGCCCGGGGCGCGGGCGCAAGGGGCGGGACGGAGGACACGAGGGGGGGGGGCCAGGCGGGCCGGACCCAAAACGCACATGCCGCAGCGAGGCACACAAGGGCCGGCCACAAAAGCCAAGAAAAGGAGGCGAGGAAGAGAGCAAGCACAGGGGCGACCAGGGCGGCGCAGGGGCGGGGGGCCGCCGGCCAAGCGCCGGCCAAGGACCCGCCAAGACGGGGCCCGGCAGGACCCGGTGGGGACCCACGCGGAAAGGGACGAGGAAGAGGCAAGGCCGGCGGGAAGACCCCAAAAAGGCCACAGAGCAAGGCCGAACAAGGCCCCAGGCCCGTGGGCACCAAGAAAAGGCGACGGGGAGACATAGGAGGACCCAGCGGACCAAGTGGGCAGGGAGCCGGAAGCCGAGGGGAGAGGGAGAGATACAGACAGAGAGAGAGAGGCAAAGGAGGGGCGTGGGGGGCGCGGTGAAAGGCGGTGGCAAGAAGGGCAAGGGCGAGGGTGGCAAAGGCGCAGGGGCGGCAGAGCTGGCGAGGGGCGCAAGGGCGCGAAGACAGGAAGCGAGGGGGCCACCAGGGACGGGTTGGGGCGGGAAGGGAGCGAGCTAAGATGCGAGGGGGGGAGGGAGGGACAGATGGCGGGAACGAAAAGGGCGACTGGAGGGGCAAGGCGGAGGGAAAGGGGAGGACCGCGGTGGCCGGCGAGGAGGAGACGGGGTGGGGCGTGGGGGGCGGGCAGGGCCGTAACGGGGGAGCCGGTGCGGGCGGGGGGGGAGGCGAAGAGGTCGGGGAAGCGGCGGGCCCGGGCGAAGGCCCCGGCGGCGGCGAGTGGCCGGCCAGGACGGGAAGGCGCGGGAGGGGGCCGGGCACGGGCCCCGCGCGAAGGGCCAGAAGGCGGGACCCAGGCGGGGGGAGGGGCGGCAAACCCCGAGGGCGGGACGCCGAAGCCGGGCCGGGGTCGGAAGGGGAAGGGGGGGGGCGGGGGAGGCGGGGCCGGGGCGAGGGGGGGCAGCCCGGCCGGGGGGGCAGGAAGGCGGAGCCTAAGGCGGGAGGGCCGCCCGGGAGGTGCGGCCAGGGTGGCCACGTGAGGGGACGAGGGGCGGAGAGCAGAGGGCCCCGGACACAGGGAACGGAGGGGGCCCACGGGGGCAACGCAGGGCGGGCGCGGGGGCCGGACGGACAGGCGAGGGGCGCGGGAAGCTCGGCACTCCGGGGTGCGGGCCAAGCGGGGGGGAGACGGAGGCGGAACCGCAACGACGGCGCCGAGGCGAGCGAACAACGGAGGGGAAGGAGGGAAGCAAGGACAGGCGGGGGGCACGACCCGGGCAGGGGAAGCGGCCGGAGGGCGGCGCGACGGGGGGTACAGGGGGGCCAAACGGAGGGGGAGAGGAACGGAGAGGAAGGGCAAGAACAAGGACGCGGGGGCCGAGGGGG